GTCAATTGACTCATTCTACCCGTCACAGTAGTCTGTCTCTCTCTCTCTCGCTCTCTTCATCACCATCTGTCAAGACTGCCAGAGGCGGCGGCGGGAAAGAAAGTAAGAGACAAGTTCTAAAGCGGGGGCACAGCAAATGGCGTGCTGGAAGGAAATTATACAAAATAAAAACATGAAAACTGAATTCTTGTACAGCCATGCACAAACCCGCCAAAAGTACATATCGGGGACAGACTCAATCCTGGCCCTGAAATGACATGTCTTGACTCTAGAAGTTATTCAGTCTACAGATGCACTGGGCATTGCCAATGCAACAAAGGAAAGCGCAATGAAGGAAACACTCTCAACAGAACTGGCTGCAGGGCCCTAGCATGTACATGGAGGCCCCGAAGACCGAGCTGCCGGAGCGGGGGCATACGTGACCCAAAAGCCAGAAGGCAAGCGGGCCCACATGAGCTGATCCGAAAAGAAACCAAACAGCCACAGGCATCTTGCAGAGTGGCTGAGGGCGCGAGTCAATCCGCGCGCTCCAGCTGCTGACAGCTGAAACAAAGGTGAAAGTGAAACCAAGGGGTGAGAATGGCTTGGCTCAGACGTGGTCAGAAGAGCAAGAAGAGCGGGTAGTGAACCCATCAGTCCAGGCGCCGTAAGACAGCTCTAGCGTTTTCGCGCTGCAGCGCGATGCCCAAAGATTGAAGGAGGCGCTGCGATTCCACAGAGCTGCCTTCACCAGTGCGGGCGGAAATCGCCTCACCCAAGGAGCGCCAGGTTTTCAAAGCAATGGGCCCCCAGCCACCACCGCACGCTTCAACAACGAGCGGGACGAACTGGAGCCCTTCACTCGTGCAGGCTTCCAAAGTGCTTAGATGCTGGCATTTCCGTGCTTCATAGTCCGTAGATGCTCTGCTGCCATCTGTCACGGATGCAGTCAGAACACTCTGTCTCATGCCCGAAGTGACGGCAATGTCGAACGCAGCTGGACCATGTAGGTGCCAGTTGGGGAGCCAGACATCGGCTGGCCGGCGACCACCGCCACAGGGTCGCTCCCCATCTTCTGGGCCACCTTGAAGTTCAGGGCGTGGAGGTAGGAGGTTGGGCTTTTCAACCTCGGGCTGAAGACCTGCTGTTTTTGCCCGCCCTGCCAAGACGTTTCTGAGCTGATGGTGCCGCTTGACCCGATCGCCGCCACAGGGACAAACGCGCGCATGGTCACCAAATCTGTCACAGGTGCCATCGCAGAGGGGGCAAGGGGTGTCAGAATCAGACACCGGCAAGCGGAGCCGCAAGCGAACCATGGTCCGAAAGAGCGGGGTCACCACGTGAAGCCCCAAGGCGGCGCTTGGGAGAGCATGGAGCCACGCCCCCGCGCCTTCTTGCTGCAAGAGCTGAAGATGCGCCCGAAAGGCTTCCCGACCAGGAGCAGGGGCTGCGAGCCTGGCGACCACAACACGGTCCAGCGCGCGTGACAACCGGGAGGTGGTCGGCCGGCGGAAGGGCCATGTTCACCAGGTTGAGAGCAGCATTGAAGTCAGGGTCGTAGCCTGGATCCATATCTTTGCACAGTGGCGCAGTAGCCCACAAAGACGCAGCGTAGCCGGCGACACTGTGCCGGGCCACGCTGCGGAGCCCGAGCCCACCACACCGAGTGGAGAGTGTTGCTTGGAGCCACGCTTCCGCAGTGAGGGGCCCGCTGCAAGCCACTTCGAGGCATCCTCTAACAGCATTGTCAAACGCTTCCAGGGAGGGGCCGAGCCCATCAGGAGGGGTGACTCTGATGGAGTAAGCCATCCGACAATGGGAGGCACAGTGGCGGAGGAGCAGGAGGGCAGTTTGGGCATCCGGCAAGACAGCCAAAGCGTCTAACAGTGGCAAAGCTTTGGCAACTCGCTCCGATGTTGTGAACTGGTTGCAGAAACTACCGTCTCCAATGGGCGCCCTCAAAAGGCTGAAGGTCCCGGTTTGGTTGAGGGGAATGCCGGGTGGGAAGAAGCTCATGTCCACAGTGGCTGCGGCCCCTCCACACGCCACAAGCTCGCATTTGGCAGGGTTGACTTGCAATCCGACATGGCGTGCGGCCGCCGTCAAGCGGACCAAGCCTGCGCTGACTTGACGATATGAGCCAGCCAAGCACACATCATCCAGGTAAGCCACCACCAGCGAGGGTCGAAGTTCCGGAGGGCCTCCACGGGCAGCAGCTTGGAGGGCCGGCTGTAATGCCAAGGAGAACAACAAAGGGCCAAGCGGGTCACCTTGTTGCACCCCGGTTTCAGAACTCAAAGGCGAGCCTTGGAACAGCAGCCGCGAGTGGAGACCATAGCACCACTCTGCCCAAGGGGACAAGCCTGGCAGGCGGAGGCGAGTCTCGCGGAGGAGAGAAGCCCGGTCGACCGAGTTGAAGGCATTGCTGAAATCAATTTTGAGGAGAACCTGTTCAGCCTGCCCTGCATGCCTCTGCGCCCAGTGTCGGGCAGTGTGGACAACTGCTTCAGTGCCATTGCGGGTGGCCACCCCAACTTGTAAAGGGCATAGAAGATCCCGGGCAGAGTTGCGCACGTCGGAGCAAAGGCACGTGGCAGTCAGCCGCCGCAAGACTTCCCCAACCGCGATGGGTCGCACATCGTCAACCCCTTTCGGCAATGCGTGTAAGGAAGCTCCAGCAAGGTGGGGCGCAATCTCGGCCAGCGCCTCTCCGCGGACGAGCAGCTTCACAACATCGGCAAGCTGGACAGCCATCTCGTCTCCATGAGGGGAAGCGAGGGCCTCGCGAAGGTGGTCACCTCGAAGGCCAGTGGGGCCCGCGCCTTTTTCACGGCTGAAGGAGCGGATGGCATGGATGACGTCCTCCACCGCCAGCTCGGGCACAGCAGCTAAGGCAGGCAGCCCTAGAGCGACGAGAGCCGGGCGGGCAGGGGCGGCGCGGGGGTGTTTGGCTTGCAGCTTGGAAACAACATCAGTCGTGTTGTCCAAGAGTGGCGGAGACACCAGGGCAGCACAGGCACGTGAGAGCTCCCCTTCAGCGGCCAAGGCACAGCATCGGGCCTGCCTGGCAGCCTGCGCTGCCTCTTCATCATCGTCCCGAGGCCGGCGACGGCGAGGACCGGGCAAGTCTCCCCAAAGTTCCTCGCGCTCACCAGCCAGCCATCTGGCACAGCGCCGCTGGGTGAACTGCGCGGCCTGGAGGCGGTGCCGGCGCCCTCCACGTGGAGCAGGGTGGAGCACCGCCTTGGGGAGCATGAAGAAGTCCCGCCACGCTTGCAAGGTGTTGTTGCCTGCCACTTGCCCAAGGGCGCGAGAAAGGCATTGTGCCCAAGCGGCTCGCGCAGCTTTGGGGACATGCCGGAGGACTGGGGCAGGCTCAGCGAAGACGGCTTCAATGGACGGCCCAGGCAGTGCCAGGCCTGCGGCAGGGACTGGCACGACAGCTCGGCGAGCTGCTGGCCGACAGCGTGGGTGCGCACCATTGAAGCGGGATGCCACTAACCCCCCACAAACCGAGCACAGGTCAAGGTGATGGCGAGCCCGATAGGCCTGGGGGACTTCCCCTTCCAAGGTGCCAGCGGCGTGATCTTCGAGGTGCGGTCGCATGGCTGCGTGGGAGGTCCAGCCACGGCCAGACGAAGCAGCGGCGGGGCACCCTGGAACAGGGCAGAAAACCCGCTCAGTCCGGCGAGCTGCCGGCGGGGATCGCTCACGCGACCCTGGCCCAGAGGCATCAACCACCATAGGTTGCCGCTCGCCGCCGACAGGGGTGCCAGGGGCTGGAGGCCCTGGATTTGATGCCTCCCCCACACGGATCCCGATGAAGCCAGTGCGGCGGCGTAGTCGCCGGCGGACCCTTCCACGGCCTCGGCGGGGCACCCAGCAAGCCCGGCGCCGGCGCCAGCGGATGGAAGGGAGCATTGGATCAAGGGGCAGCGCAGAGCAGGCCCATGCCTGCAAGAGGATGGAGGTGAGCTGGCGCCGCTGATAGTGACTGGCTCGGCCGAGTGGTTGATGCCGACGTTCCGGCAATGGTATGCCGCCAGGGGCAAAGGTCGACTGGCCGATGGTTGGCAAAGGATGAGGGCAAGAGAGCAGGGACAGAGCCACTAGCCGGGGCAGCGCCCAAAGGAGGAGCACGCCGCAGGAAGCCATGGCGGGCCGCTGCTGGGCGGTGCAAGCAAGCAGAGGGGGCACACAGAGGTGCTCACACTTGAGGCCCACGGCACCGCTTGCCTGCACCCCCGAGCAACAGCCTTACAAAAGATCGTCCTCATCTGAAATTGCTGAGAAACGGCTTCCTTGAGCCAAGGCCCTGAGGGCCAGTGATAATCCGCAATCTGGAGCTGGGCACCAAGGGCACAGAAGGGAATCCATGGGAATCCAACTCAAAATCATGTACGATTATGTACGATTAACATGGATGGTTTCAGCATCCCAAAAAAAACTCACAACTGATTGTTGCTCAAATCCCGAGTGTTAGTTTATCAAACCATCATGTTCCCTGCTTTCACCGGCTAGGTACCCACCATGTTTGATCTTAAATTGCCCATTGTTGGTACTAAATTTAATGTTTGCAGCTTGAAGTCCAATGGCTGCAACAGCCTCATTTTGGCTGGTTTTTTTGACCCAAAATCCAACAGTCTTCTGCCTCAAAGCTGACATTTTTCAAGATCTTTCCCGGCTCTCACCCTGGGCGCCTGTTCTCCAGCGCGAATTTTGCAGGCAGCGCGGCTTACGAATGTGTCGCGGCTCTGGCGACTGACGTAGACCTCGTTGATCATGTTGATGGTAAGGGGTTTTGGAATGGGCGATCCAGCCTAAAATGAGGATATTGATATTGATATCACATATATACATGTACACATATTCAATCATGTGCATGTGCATAAACATATTGATATGTGCATATATATATATATATATATATATGTATATATATACACATATATTCACATTGTACACATAGATCAGCATAATATTGAGATAAACTGAATTATCACATATTGGAACACATATGGAAATCCCACCATTGTAGAATTATAATAATTGTTTCGCAAGGGAACCCATGGTATTTGGTAAGGGGGAAGTGAGGCATTTCAACGGAAAAATAAAACATGGTCGGGAAAAAACGCCTTTTGGTCGGCAAAAAACGCCGTTTGGTCGGGTAAAAAAAACGTTTCAAAAGCATAAATGTGTACACATTTCTGACAAACATACAATTGTTGGGAAATTGTTCGCAGCCAAAAATAAATGCATTTTGGATGGAAAAACAATTTTCCCTGAAAAAACAAAAAATGCATCTTTTCGAAGATGCAGGCATATATCAATATAATATATATTTATATATCAATGTAATATGTATATATATAAATATATCAATGTAATTTATATATAAATATATAAATCAATATATACTTATATAAATATATATCAATGTAATATATATTTAAATCAATATCTACAAATATACAGTATATATATATATATATATCATGTTTTCATATATTGATGATATGTATATTTATATATATATATATATCATGTTTTCATATATTATACTAGGCGCAGATGACACGGGACTTTGCGGCCAATTTAGCCGATGTTTTTTGGCACATGACATGGGATTTATGTATCGATTTTGCTATGGGTTTTTTTTACACATGACATGGGAGTTATGCGCCGACCTAACGGGCAGGTATTTTTCCATTTTATTAACAGATGACATGGGAATAAGTGATCAAATTTACACATGACATGGGACTTCCAGGAAGACACAAACGTCCAAGATGGGAAATGGCAGGTAAATTCCTTTAAATTCCTCTAAAATCTTGTAAATTCTTTTAAATTCCTTAAAACTCCTTAAAAGTCCTTTAAATTCCTTTAAATTCCTTAAAATTCTTGAAAATTGCTTTACATTCATTCAAATTCCTTGAAAATCCTTTGAATTCCTTAAAAGACGAATTTACCACATGACATGGGACTTCCAACCCCTTTAAATTCCTTTAAATTCCTTAAAAGACGAATTTACCACATGACATGGGACTTCCAATTCCTTTATTATTTTTTTTTAATTCCTTTAAATTCCTTTAAATTCTGTTATATTCCTTTAAATTCGTTTAAATTTTGTTAAATTCCTTGAAATTTCCTAAAATTCCTTGACATTCCTTCAATTTCCTTTAAATTCCTTAAAAGACGAATTTACCACATGACATGGGACTTCCAGTTCCTTAAAATTCCTTTAAATTCTGTTTACACTCATGAAATCTAACGTGGATATAAATGCTATTCCCACTGTCAGCTAACATGGACCTCCGTACCGTCCTGGTAATATCTGCGTTCCCCAGGAACTACGCGTAACTTTTTTTTTAACATGGGAAGCCAAATTGCTAACATGGACTCTGACCAGAGGCAGTTGGATACAGAAGTTGCAGCTTTGTTTGTCAATCTTTTTGATTTTTCAACCGTTTTTCAATTAACCTGGACCAGATATGGTTTTTCAAGCCTCGTTCCTACGAGTCTATGTTAGCCACATTTTCTGGAGATATCAAAATGCGGATTTTTGGGAGTAGATTTTTGTGTCAAGATTTCACCTAACAAGGACCTGAACCAGCTTTGATGGCATGATCTCCTCACATCATGACTGGCACAACTGTTTTTGGATGTCTTTGTGACTCTTTGTGGGGTGAACCCTCACTGGACCCAAAAAAGCTTCAAAATCAACAATTTTCTTTACTGTAATAGATTGAATAAGGAAAAAAACTCCTGGTCGATGTTGCCAATCTGGCTACTTGCTGAACTAACGATTATGATATACTATTGGAGGTTTTGGGAACCCTGGGCAGGATCTATGTTAGTCGTCCTGTTGCCAAAACTTTGGTTTTGGATTGGAAATCATGACTGGCACAGCTGTTTTTGGTATCTTTGTGACTCTTTGTGGGGTGAGCCCTTACTGGACCCAAAAAAAACTTCAAATTCAAAATCAAGAATTTTATATAATAGATTGAATAAGGAAAAAACTCCTGGTCGATGTTGCCAATCTGGCTACTTGCTGAACTAATGATTATGATATACCATTGGAGGTTTTGGGAACCCTGGGCAGGATCTATATTAGTCGTCCTGTTGCCAAAACTTTGGTTTTGGATTGGAAATCATGACTGGCACAACTGTTTAGTAGTAGTAGTAGTAGTAGTAGTATCAGTAGTAGTAGTAGTAGTAGTAGTAGTAGTAATAGTAGTAGTAGTAGTAGTAGCAGTTGTGCCAGTCATGATTTCCAATCCAAAACCAAAGTTTTGGCAACAGGACGACTAACATAGATCCTGCCCAGGGCTCCCAAAACCTCTAATAGTATATCATAATCGTTAGTTCAGCAAGTAGCCAGATTGGCAACATCGACCAGGAGTTTTTTCCTTATTCAATCTATTACAGTAAAGAAAATTGTTGATTTTGAAGCTTTTTTGGGTCCAGTAAGGGTTCACCCCACAAAGAGTCACAAAGACATCCAAAAACAGTTGTGCCAGTCATGATTTCTAATCCAAATCCAAAGTTTTGGCAACAGGACGACTAACATAGATCCTGCCCAGGGTTCCCAAAACCTCCAATAGTATATCATAATCATTAGTTCAGCAAGTAGCCAGATTGGCAACATCGACCAGGAGTTTTTTCCTTATTCAATCTATCATATAAAATTCTTGATTTTGAAGCTTTTTTGGGTCCAGTAAGGGTTCACCCCACAAAGAGTCACAAAGACATCCAAAAACAGTTGTGCCAGTCATGATTTCCAATCCAAAACCAAAGTTTTAGCAACAGGACGACTAACATAGATCCTGCCCAGGGTTCCCAAAACCTCCAATAGTATATCATAATCATTAGTTCAGCAAGTAGCCAGATTGGAAACATCGACCAGGAGTTTTTTCTTTATTCAACCTATTATGTAAAATTGCTGATTTTGAAGCTTTTTTGGGTCCAGTAAGGGTTCACCCCACAAAGAGTCACAAAGACATCCAAAAACAGTTGTACCAGTCATGATTTCCAATCCAAAACCAAAGTTTTAGCAACAGGACGACTAACATAGATCCTGCCCAGGATTCCCAAAACCTCCAATAATATATCATAATCATTAGTTCAGCAAGTAGCCAGATTGGAAACATCGACCAGGAGTTTTTTCCTTATTCAATCTATTATGTAAAATTCTTGATTTTGAATTTGAAGTTTTTTTGGGTCCAGTAAGGGCTCACCCCACAAAGAATCACAAAGACATCCAAAAACAGTTGTACCAGTCATGATTTCCAATCCAAAACCAAAGTTTTGGCAACAGGACGACTAACATAGATCCTGCCCAGGGTTCCCAAAACCTCCAATAGTATATCATAATCATTAGTTCAGCAAGTAGCCAGATTGGCAACATCGACCAGGAATTTTTTCCTTATTCAATCTATCATATAAAATTCTTGATTTTGAAGCTTTTTTGGGTCCAGTAAGGGTTCACCCCACAAAAAGTCACAAAGACATCCAAAAACAGTTGTGCCAATCATAATTTCCAATCCAAAACCAAAGTTTTGGCAACAGGACGACTAACATAGATCCCGCCCAGGGTTCCCAAAACCTCCAATAGTATATTATAATCATTAGTTCAGCAAGTAGCCAGATTGGCAACATCGACCAGGAGTTTTTTCCTTATTCAATCTATCATATAAAATTCTTGATTTTGAAGTTTTTTTGGGTCCAGTAAGGGTTCACCCCACAAAGAGTCATAAAGACATCCAAAAACAGTTGTGCCAGTCATGATTTCCAATCCAAAACCAAAGTTTTGGCAACAGGACGACTAACATAGATTCCACCCAGGGTTCCCAAAACCTCCAATTGTATATTATAATCATTAGTTCAGTAAGTAGCCAGATTGGAAACATCGACCAGGAGTTTTTTCCTTATTCAATTTATTATGTAAAATTGTTGATTTTGAAGCTTTTTTGGGTCCAGTAAAGATTCACCCCACAAAGAGTCACAAAGACATCCAAAAACAGTTGTGCCAGTCATGATTTCCAATCCAAAACCAAAATTTTGGCAACAGGACGACTAACATAGATCCTGCCCAGGGTTCCCAAAACCTCTAATAGTATATTATAATCGTTAGTTCAGCAAGTAGCCAGATTGGC